GGGCCTTGAAGGGCGGCGACGGGGCCGCTAGAGGCGGCGACGGGGCCGCGAAGGGCCGCGAGGGGCCTAGAGGGGCGGCGACGGGGCCGCGAAGGGCCAGCGAGGGGCCTGAGAGGGCGGCGACGGGGCCGCAAAGGACGGCGACGGGGGCCGTAAGGGGGGGCGATGGGGCCGCTAAGGGTGGCGCGAGGGCCATGAGAGGGGCCTCTAGGAGGGCGCGACAGGCCACTAAGGGCAAGGGACGCGACGTGAGGGCGGCCAACGGGGCGCGCCTCGGGTAGGGGCGACTCGCGCTCCGGTCAAGAAAAAAATGTCGATTTCAGTGGTGGGCCCTGAGAAGCGTTCCCACTAGGGAACCTGCTCTATACCATGTGAAGAAATGAGGAATGAATGAACTAGGAAACAGGTGGGTACAAGTAGGAAAACCTAATAGTGTTGTACCCCATATTGTCTACCCCACTACAGCCTACACAGACTATAGCATATGAGTTTGACATGTACCCCTTAGAGTACATGGCTAGTCTAGGTTGTTTTGTATTCCCTGTATTCTACATACCGTATAGTTCCGGCTAGAAGACCCGCCGGTAAGAAGTCCCCCGGGACTCTTGAATGGGTAGGGGGACTCTTATTGTGGCCGATTTTGTGAGGACCCCCCCTTGGCATCTAATCATCATAAGACCCCCCTTTTATGTATACAGTAGTTATAATTGCTATTGTGCGTCAGCTTTTAATAGTGTAAATTCGAATTCTGACACGTTTTTTGTGTCAGACTCGAATTCTGACACTTCATTTGTGTCGGACTCAAATTCTGACACGGATCTGACGCGCCGCACGTGCAAAATTTGCGCGAATTCGTTACGAATATAAGACCCCCCCACCCTAAATAGACTCGTACACCCTAAATGTCAGATTGATGATTGACAAATAGGTTACCTCGGGTCTTAAAAAATTGCTGACCGCCATAATGTCCACCCAAGCACAATTTCCAGCATTTGTAGAGAGTCCCCCGGGTCTTCTAGCCGGAACTATACGGTATATACCTGATGTATGCATGCTTTTAATTATTTCAGTCATTTACATTTACTCTGATCTGAGGTCAACATTTCCGCTGCAACAATTCTACCAGCAATGATCCCTGAGACGATCCTTCGCTAAGTTAGGATTGTCGCATGGTATGAGAGCTACCCAGATATTCTTTGCAACTTCATTTCCGTGAAATTCACCAAACCAAGATCTGGCGAGCGGCACATGCTCCAAGCGGCACACGCTCTAAGACCAGGATGGCAGGAGGATCCCGAGGCCAGACAAATCTTACGGCCGAAGGACAAGCCAATCCGGCTGCGAGAAATGAGGCGACAACTACGATAAGAACAACTGCACTCGAGCATTGGTTTTCGTGACTTTCAACTATGGAGAAAGATCTCCAAGCACTGCGCAAAGGCGATGCGGGAACCTCTTCCCAACCGGCACAACCTGGTCAACTGGCTGCGAAAAGCCGTGATACCGCTGCGCACCACCTTCTCCCTCTACACAAACAAATCAACATCAACTGCCCCCTGTCCAAGTGATGAAGTCATCAATTTTGCGCAAGCATGCTTCCTCAGCGTTTCAAAAATCAAGACTGCTTCCGAGTTTGACGGCAAGGATTTCTTTACATGGAGTTTTGAGCTAGAGCTCCTCCTACAGATAGTGCAGATCTGCCATTACTTCGACGGCTCCTACTCTAAATTGGTGGAAGACAATGAAGATGCCCGGGCTTAGTACTGCAGCGAGTCCCTCATGGCGTGTAGTGTGGTGTGACGAGAAGTGAGAATGGAATGAATGAACTATGAAACAGTTGGGTACAAGTATTAACCCTAATTGGGTTGTACCCCTTATGGGCTACCCCACTACAGCCAACACAAATGTATAAGCTATAATGTTCTGACACACCCCCATAGGCAAAGTGGGGGAGAACAAGTGGTCACAAGACCAGTCAAGCAAAGCAAAGCAAAGCAAAGCAAGCTCAGGGTGGATCACAAAGTCACCACACAGTCCAAGCACAAGAGTAAGGCCAGAAGGCCAGTTCACAAGCAAGGTCATATATATAAAGGTAAAAACAAGCAAGGGCAGGTATAGAAAGAAGACAGTACAAACAAGATCAAGAAGTGAGCAAGTGAGGCCAGGTAGGCACAAGACCTAGCACAGTACAGAAGCGCTGATGATCACAAGGCGGAAGGGCCTTGGTGAAGATATCAGCAGTGTTGGCCTCAGAGGCCACGTAGGTGAGGCGGAGCTGACCACGCTGCTGCAGCTGACAAGACAGGAAGTAGCGGAGAGCAATGTGCTTCGTTCTGTGCTCCAGTCTGTGCTCCCGACACAAGGCGAGCATGGCCTTGTTGTCTACATACAGAACTGGAGGAGAACGAGGCGGCTCTCCTAGGTCAGTCAGCAGGTAGGTGAGCCAGCGTAGCTCCTGTGCAGCCATGGCCCCGGCGTAGATCTCAGCCTCACAGCTGGAGCCGAGAACAGAGGACGAGCAGGTAGACCGCCACGAAACAGAGCCGGAGCCAAGGCTGAAGGTGTAACCCTGTGACGACCGCTGCGTAGCCTGGTCGTCAGCCCCAGAAGCGTCAGCGTGACCTGTGAGGACTACTCGACGTCGCCCTCCAAGCACTAGCCCCATGCCCGACGTACTGCACACGTAGCGCAACACCCTCTTCGCTGCAGCCATGTGCTCTGGTCGGTGTCTCCCAGGAGCAACATAGCGTGCTAAGATGCTAGAGGGTATGCAAGGTCAAGCCCTACTCCTGCGGCCCTGCCGCCCTACTCAGCGGCCCCGCCACCGTTCACCAGCGGCCCTGCCACCCTACACCGCCCGCGCTGCCAGAACAGCCCGAGCCGCCCGAGCCGCCCGAGCTGCCCGAGACACCCGAGCCGCCCGAGTCGCCCGAGCCGCCCGAGCCGCCTGAGCCACCCGAGCCGCCCGAGCCGCCCGAGCCGCCTGATCAGCCGAGTCGCCAATGCGCGGAGCCGCAGTCGCTACTGAGCCGTCCGAGCAGCCGTGTTGCCGTGTTACTGCACTATTGAGCTGCCCGACTTGCCCTGTCTGGTGAGACCAGCGCTTCTGTCACTGCACTGCCCCTGTCCTACAGTTGGTCTCACTAGTCTACTGCTGTCATGGTCTCCCCTAGTGTTCTCGCTTTTGACGCTGAGGGTCGAGCCATCGACTTTGAGGTTTGGGTAGATAACCTGCAGCTCTTCTTACAGTGCTATAGGGCAGACGGTCTCTCCCTCTTTGACCTCACCTCTGGCGCCTCTCCTGCCCCTGCTGCTGATGCTGACCCCACTGTTCGCTCCCAGTGGGCCACGCGCGATGTTGCTGCACGTCTTGCTGTGCGTCGCCACCTGCCTACCTCTGAGCGCGCGCACTTTACTCAGTACAAGAGTGCTCACACCTTATACGACGCTGTAGTTGCGCGCCACTCTTCCCCTGCCACTGCTGCACTGAGCCGCCTCATGCTACCGTACCTCTTTCTTGACCTTGCTGCCTTTCCCACAGTCGCTGACCTCGTTACGCACCTCCGCACTAGTGACACTCGCTACCGCGCCGCACTTCCTGCTGAGTTCTGCGCCAAGAATCCCCCCCCCCATGTACATCACTCTCTATTATATAGTCACTCGCCTCCCTTACTCCCTTCGCGTTGTCAGGGACCACTTCCTCTCAGTCTGTCCCACCACTCTCACTGTTGACCCCTTAGAGAAGGCCCTCCTCGCAGCGGAGAAGAGCATAGTCGCTGTAGGAGCCTCTCCTGGTGACCCTCGCACCCCCATCTTTGAGGGGTGTTCCCCTTCCCCCCTTTTGTCCTCTGTCGCCTCTGCTGCTGCGGCCGACCTCGTTGGTCTTGAGTCGGTCGGTGCGGCGTCTGCCCCTAGCGGGAGACGCCGCTCTGGCAAGGGCAAGGGTGGCAAGGGCGCGGGTGGGGCTAGCGGGGGTGGTGGAGGTGGCAATGGGGGCGGCGGGGGAGTGGGGGTGGCGGTGGGAGTGGTGGCGGGGGTGGAGGTGGCGGTGGCAGTGGCGGAGGCGGAGGCGGCGGTGGCGGTAGCGGTGGGAGCGGCGGCGGCGGTGGCGGCGGAGGTGGAGGCGGCGGTGGTGGAGGAGGTGGAGCTGGTTGGGGTGGTACTTCTCAGCGGAGCGGCTCCGGGAGTGGTCAGCGCCAGCAGCAGCAGCGTTCTCTGGACATCCCCCCTCCTCAGCAGCTCCGTGAGTGGTACACGCAGCGTCAGCGTGGTGGGGGTTGTCTAGGGCAGGCGTAGCTATCTTTGATCTTGACTTTGATGCTATCCTTGCTGCCATGTATGCTGTGACTATTAGTGATGAGGGTGACTGTTACCGGTGTTTCCCGCCCGACCCGGGCATTGGTACTGCTGCTCTAGGTGCCAGTGCGTCCGCGCCCTCAGGTGCTGGTGAGTCTGCGCTCTCAGGCACCACGTCGGCTTCGGCCTCCCTCACCTTCACACTTGACTCAGGGGCTTCTCGCTCCTTCTTTCGAGACCACACCACACTCACGCCGCTTGGTCGGCCAGTTGCAGTCTCCCTGGCAGACCCCTCTGGGGTCCTGTCCTCTCTCACTTCTCCACTGTCCTCCCGTGTCCGGCTGCTCCCTCTGGCACCTTGTCTTGTCTTTACCTCCCCTCGTTCTCTACAAACTTGGTGAGTGGTGCTGACCTGCAGGATACGCGGGTTCACCAGTTCACTCCTGCGAGTCAGCGGGTGACCCACTGCACGGACGCTCGGACAGGCCGACACCTGGCCACGTTTACACGTCAGCCGGGGTCGAGCCTGTACACACTGGCCACTGAGTCTCCTCCAGTCATTGCGTCTGGTCAGGTAGCTGCGTCGGGTCAGGTGTTTGCTGCAGCGTCCAGGTCTGGTCCTGAGTCTGCCCCCTGCTCGTGTCGCCTCCTGTCTCACGAGACTCTCCTCTGGCAACACCGTCTTGGTCACCCCTCCCTGCCTCGTCTCCAAGGCATGGCTTCCCGTGTCCTTGTCTCTGGTCTTCCCCGGTCCCTCCCTCCCCTTCCTCCGGGGCCTGGTCCTTCCTCTGTCCCCTGTGTCGAGGGGCGGCTCCGAGCTGCCCCTCACTCCTCTCAATTTCCCCCGAGAGAGGCCCCGCTGCAGACGCTTCACATGGACGTGTGGGGCCCGGCCCGCGTACGTGGACAGGGTCACGAGCGCTACTTCCTGCTGGTGGTTGACGACTACTCGCGTTACACTTCAGTCTTCCCCTTGCGCAGCAAGGGTGATGTCGCTAAGGTGTTGATCGACTGGATCCGCGCAGCTCGTCTCCAGCTCAGGAGGAGCTTCGGCTCGGACTTTCCTGTTCTGCGTCTGCACTCTGACCGAGGCGGAGAGTTCTCCTCTGGCCTTCTGCGAGCCTACTGTCGTGCGCGAGGCATCCGCCAGACCTTTACGCTTCCGGACTCTCCACAGCAAAATGGGATTGCTGAGCGCCGCATTGGCATGGTCATGGACGTCGCTCGTACGTCCATGATGCATGCGGCTGCCCCCCATTTTCTGTGGCCGTTTGCGGTTCGGTACGCGGCGCATCAGATCAACCTTCACCCCAGGGTCTCCAAACGAGAGACCTCCCTAGCCTTGCTGTGGACGGGGAAGGTCGGCGATGCGTCTGCGTTCCGTGTCTGGGGATCTCGAGCGTTTGTCCGTGACTTGTCTGCGGACAAGCTATCCCCTCGTGCTGCTCCCTGTGTCTTCCTTGGCTTCCCCCCTGACGCCCCTGGGTGGCAGTTCTACCACCCCACCTCTCGTCGTGTTCTGTCCTCCCAGGACGTCACGTTCGAAAAGTCAGTACCGTACTACCGCCTCTTCCCCTACCGCACTCCTTCCCTCCCCCCGCCACCGCACTTCCTTGTGCCAGGTCCCCCCCCGGTAGACCCCCTCTCCCCTCAGGGTCCTGCCCTTCAGGTGTGTCCCAGGTAGATGCTGTTGAGCCGGTCGAGGTTGCTGGTGACTCTGGTACTGCTGCGGGTGCTGAGCCTGGGGGTGCTGACTCTGGGGGTGCTGCGCGCGTGGGTGCTGAGCCTGGGGGTGCTGCGTCTGGGGATGGTGCGACTGGGGGTGCTGAGCCTGGGGGTGCTGAGCCTGGGGGTGCTACGACTTGGGGTGCTGAGCCTGGGGGTGCTACGACTGGGGGTGCTGAGCCTGGGGGTCCTTCGCCCGAGGGTGCTGCGTTTGGAGCTGCTGTGCCTGGGGGTGCTGAGTCTGGAGCTACTGAGCCTGGAGGTGCGGAGCCCGCGGCCGCTGGACCTGCTCGTGTGGTGTCTGGCGGTGGTGGGCCTGCTGGTTCTCTGGGTGCTTCGTCTCGGCGGGAGCCACTCTCTCCACAGGAGCTGCGCGAGTGGTTTGCCCGGCGCTAGAGGCGTACTACTGGAGCTGGTGCTTCTTCGGCTGCTGAGGGTGCTGGTGCCGCCGGTCTCGGAGGTGCTAGTCCTGCGAGTGCTACTGGAGTCGGAGCTGCTGAGGGTGTTGGCGCTGAGGCTACTGCTGTCAGTCCTGGCGGCGGTTCTGCTGCGGGTGCTACTAGTGCTGCTGGAGGTACTGGAGCTGGAGGTGCTGATGATGCTGGTGCTGCCGCAGGGGGTACTGGTGCTGTCCCTGCTGTGTCTAGAGTCGCCGCGCGGCCTCGGCCGTACTTTGTTCCGCTCCTTCAGCAGGTTCTTGGTCTTCCTCCTCCCTTAGAGTGTCCACCGCCTGTCCAGTCGCAGTCGCAGTTACCACCGGTCTCCCCACTGCCTTCTCCTTCTCCGTACACTGGTCCTACTGGAGGTCTTGCTGAGCGTCGTGAGCCTGCGTCTCGTCCTGCGTCGCCTGTTCGTGCTGCTCGCACTAGTGGTCGCAGTTCGCGTCAGCGTCCTCCTTCTGTCCCTGGCACGCACCGGATGTCTCTGCGTCCGTCCACTGCTCCTGTGCGTGCCCCTTTGCCCTCTCCTCCTGAGTCCTCTCTTCCTGTGCTTGCCGACCCTGATTCAGACTCTCTTCGTACTGCCAGTCCTACTGTCACGCGTCTCCTTGCTACTGTCGTCACAGACCCCTCCTTTGAGTCCACTACTGCGTCTGCTCTTGTTGCTGAGCTCGTCGACTTTGCTGCTCCCTGTCGTCTAGACTACGCTGCTAGTCTTGTTGCTGAGTCTGCGTCTGTCTGTCCTCCGTCTGTTGGGGGTGAGTGTGCTCTTGGCATGGACGTCCTTGCGGACAGGCAGGAGGAGTTCCAGTGTCTGGCTGCTGCTTCACCTCATCCTGCGTCCGTACTGCTTACCCCTGAGGGAGACCCGGATGCACCAGACATCCCGACTCCGCGCTCTTACGCGGAGGCCGTAGAGGGTCCCTACTCCTCTCAGTGGCAGGCAGCTATGGATGCAAAGATGGCTTCCTCGAAGTCCACAGGCACCTACGTTGACGCGGTTCCCCCTCCTGGGGCGAACATCGTCAGTGGCATGTGGATCTCCAGGGTGAAGCGGCCGCCGGGCTCTCCGCCTGTCTTCAAGGCGCGGTACGTGGCTCGTGGCTTCAGTCAGCGGCAGGGAGTTGACTACTTTCAGACCTTCTCTCCCACCCTGAAGATGACCACTCTTCGGGTGCTGCTACACGTAGCCGCTCAACGTGACTACGAGCTTCACTCCCTTGACTTCAGCACTACTTTCCTGCAGGGTAGCCCGCACGAGGAGATCTGGTTGCACCGTCCACCTGGCTTCACTGGGACTTTCCCTCCTGGCACCCAGTGGAACCTCTGACGGCCAGTCTACGGTCTCCGCCAGGCACCGCGCGAGTGGCACGACACACTGAGGACTACACTTGCGGCTCTTGGGTTTGCTCCCTCTACTGCTGACCCGTCGCTGTTTCTACGCACCGACACCTCTCTGCCGCCGTTCTACATCCTCGTGTACGTCGACGACTTGGTCTTTGCCATAGCTGACACTGCTGGACTCGCCCACGTGAAGTCCGAGCTGTAGAAGAGACACACGTGCACAGACCTGGGTGAACTGCGCAGCTACCTTGGCTTGCAGATCACCCGGGACAGAGCACGCCGCACCATTACCCTGACTCAGTCACACATGGTGCAGCAGGTCCTTCAGCGCTTCGGCTTCACGTACTCCTCGCCTCAGGCCACTCCTCTGTCTACTCGCCACTCGCTCTCAGCTCTGCCTTCGGATGAGTCCGTAGAGTCGAGTGGCCCGTACCCAGAGCTTGTTGGCTGCCTCATGTACCTGATGACCTGCACACGACCTGACCTTGCATACCCTCTTAGCATTCTTGCACGCTATGTTGCTCCTGGGAGACACAGACCAGAGCACATGGCTGCAGCAAAGAGGGTGTTGCGCTACTTGTGCAGTACGTCGGGCATGGGGCTAGTGCTTGGAGGGCGGAGTCCAGTGGTCCTCACTGGGCACGCGGACGCTTCTTGGGCAGACGACCAGGCTACGCAGCGGTTGTCACAGGGTTTCACCTTCAGCCTTGGTTTCGGCTCTGTTTCGTGGCGGGCTACTCGCTTGTCTTCTGTTCTCGGCTCCAGTTGTGAGGCTGAGATCTACGCCGGGGCCATGGCTGCACAGGAGCTTTGCTGGCTTACCTACCTGCTGACTGACCTCGGAGAGCCGCCTCGTTCTCCTCCGGTGCTGTTCGTAGACAACAAGGCCATGCTAGCCTTGTGTCGGGAGTAGCGCCTGGAGAAAAGAACGAAGCACATTGCTCTCCGCTACTTTCTTGCTCGTGAGTTGCAGCAGCGTGGTCAGTTGCGACTTGCGTACGTGGCCTCTGAGGCCAACACTGCTGATGTTTTCACCAAGGCACTTCCGCCTTGTGATCATCAGCGCTTCTGCACTCAGCTGGGTCTTGTGCCTGTCTTGCCTCACTTGTTCACCCCTTGACCTTGCTTGTACTCTTACATATATATATATATACCTACTCTTGCTTTTTTAGCCTTATATATATATGTGTACTCTTGCATGTGAACTGGCCTTGTGGCCTTGACCTTGTGCTCGGACTGTGTGGTGACGTTGTGATCCACCCTGAGCTTTGTCTGCTTTGCCTGACTGGTCTTGTGACCCCCTGTTCTCCCCCACTTTGCCTATGGGGGTGTGTCAAATTATAATATTGTGTAGGCTATAGTGGGGTAGCCCATATGGGGTACACATTTTCTAGGGTTGCATATTTGTATCACTTCCATTCCTTAGTCATTCATTCTCGTTCACATTTTCTCACGCTTCACCCTGAAGATCCACATCCCACAGACGATGTTCGCCCAAGGTGGGGGAACCTCGTCGACGTAGGTGTCTGTGGACTTCCAGGAAGCCATTTCTGCGTCCATGTCCGACTGCCAGTGAGAGGAGTAGGGACCCTCGATCGCCTCAGCGTAAGATCGAGGAGTCGGGATGTCTGGTGCATCCGGGTCTCCCTCAGGGGCAATCAGCGTGGACACGAGATGGGGCAAAGCAGCCGCAAAGCACTGGAACTCCTCCTGCCTGTCCTCAAGTACGTCCGTGCTAAGAGCACACTCACCCCCGACGGACGGAGGACAAACAGACTCAGACTCAGCAACAAGACTGGCAGCGTAGTCTAGACGACAGCTAGCAGCGAAGTCGACAAGCTCAGCAACGAGAGCAGACGCAGCAGTAGACTCAAAGGAAGGGCCAGTGACGACAGTAGCAAGAAGGCGCGTGTCCGAAGGGAGTCAGACTCCGGGTCAGCAAGAGAAGGAAGAGAGGACTCTGGAGGAGACGGCAACGGGACACGCAGAGGAGCAGTGGAAGGACGCAGTGCCATCTGGTGTGTGCCGGGAACCGTAGGAGGACGCGGACGGGTAGTACGACCACTAGTGCGAGCAGCACGAACAGGTGACGCGGGACGAGACGCAGGCTCACGACGCTCAGCAAGACCTCCAGTAGGACCAGTGTAGGGAGAAGGAGCAGGTAGAGGGGAGGCGGGCGGTAACTGTGACTGCGACTAGACAGGCGGTGGACACTCTAGGGGAGAAGCAGGACCAGTAGAGGGCGGGAGACCAAGAACCTGCTCCAGGAGCGGAACGAAGTACGGCCTCGGCCGCTCAGCGCCTCCAGAACCAGCAAGTACGGCACCAGTACCCCCCCCGGCAGCACCAGCGCAAGCAGAATCTCCAGCTCCAACAGCGCCAACTCCAGTACCCTCAGAAGCACCAACGCCACCAGCACCGCCAACGCCAACACCCCCAGCAGCTCCAGCTCCAGCAGCACCAACTCCAGTAGGACCGGCAGCACCAGCTGCCTCAGCAGCACCCCCAAACACACCAGCACCAGTCGAAACACCAGCGCCAACACCCCCAGCAGCTCCAGCTCCAGCAGCACCAACTCCAGTAGGACCGTCAGCACCAGCTGCCTCAGCAGCACCCCCAGACGCACCATCACCAGTAGAAACATCAGCGCCAACACCCCCTGCAGCTCTTGCAGTACCCCAAGACTCAGCAGCACGTCTCCAGCAGTGGGCAAACCACACGCGCAACTCCTGTGGAGAGAGCGGCTCCCGCCTCGACATAGTACCGCCGGCGGCCACACGAGCAGACCCAGCACCCCCAGGCTCCGCACCCCCAGGATCAGCACCCCCACGCTCAGTACCCCCAGGCTCAGTACCTCCAGTCTCAGCACCCCCAGACTCAGCACCCCCAGACCCGGCACCCGCAGGCTCAGCACCTCTAGCAGCACCAGACTCAACAGCTACCTCGACAGGCTCGACTGCGTCTATCTGGGACACACCTGAAGGGGCAGGACCCTGAGGAGGGAGGGGGTCTACCTGGGTAGCACCTTGCGCAAGGAAGAGCGGTGGCGGGGGGAGGGGCGCAGTGCGGTAGGGGAAGAAACGGTAGTAAGGCACCGACTCGTCAAAGGTGACGTCATGGGAGGACAGGAAACACGGCGCGTGGTGGGGTGGTAAAACTGCCAGCCAGGCGCGTCAGGGGGGAAGCCAAGGAAGACGCAAGGAACAGCACGGGGGGACAGCTTGTACGCAGACATGTCGCGGACAAACGCCCGAGATCCCCAGACCCGAAACGCAGACGCATCACCAACCTTCCCTGTACACCGCAAGGCGGGGGAGGTCTCTGGCAAGGAGACCCAGGGCTGAAGGTTGAGCTGATGCGCTGCGTACTGGACCGCATACGGCCACAGAAAATGGGGGGCAGCCGCATGCATCATGGACGTACGCGCGACGTCTATGACCATGCCAATGCGGCGCTCAGCAATCCCATTTTGCTGTGGAGAGGCCGGAAGCGTGAAGGTCTGGCGGATGCCCCGTGCCCGACAGAAGGCTCACAGACGGGTAGAGGAAAACTTTCCTCCTCTGTCCAAGTGCAGACGTAAAACATGAAAGTCCGAGCCGAAACTCTCTCTGAGCTGGAGACGAGCTGCGCGGATCCAGTCGATCAACACCTCAGTGACGTCACCCTTGCTGCGCAAGGGGGAGATTGTGGTGTAACGCGAGTAGTCGTCAACGACCAGCAGAAAGTACCGCTCTCTCCCCTGCCCACTGACGCGGGCTGGGCCCCACACGTCCATGTGTAGAGTCTGCAGCGGAGCCTCTGTCGGAGGAAACTCGGAGGAGTGAGGGGCGGCGCGCTGTCGCCCCTCGACGCAGGAGACGCAGGTAGGGCCAGGCCCCGGAGGAAGGGGAGGGAGAGACCGAGGAAGACCAGAGACAAGGACACGGGAGGCCATGCCTCGGAGACGAGGCAGGGAGGGGTGACCAAGGCGGTGGTGCCAAAGGAGAGTCTGGTGGGACAGCAGACGACACGAGCAGGGGGCAGACTCAGGACCAGACCTGGACGCCGCAGCAAACACCTGACTCGACACAGCTACCTGGGCAGACTCACCAGTAGGAGGAGACTCAGCAGTAAGGGTGTACAGGCTCGACCGTGGTCGACGGGTGAACGTGGCCAAGTGTCGGCCTGTCCGAGCACACCTGCAGTGGGTCACTCCCTGACTCGCACGAGTGAACTGGTCAACCCCTCGATCCTGTAGGTCCGCTCCACTCACCAAGTTCGTAGAGAACGAGGGGAGGTAGAGACCAGACAGGGTGCCAAAGGGGGCTGCAGGGCACGGAAGGACAGTGGAGAAGCTGGCAAGGACAGGACCCCTAGAGGAGTCTGCCAGGGAGACTGCAACCGGCCGACTAAGCGGCGTAAGAGTGGTGCGGTCTCGAAAGAAGGAGCGGGACGCACCCGAGTCCAGGGTGAAGGTGTGGAAGGCCTGAGCCGACGTAGTACCTGAGAGAGCAGACTCACCAGCACCTGGGGCGGCAGACGCACTGGCACCTGGGGCAGCAGACGCACGAGCACCTAGAGCAGCAGTCTCACCAGCACCTAGCGCAGCAGCCTTAATGCCCGGGTCAGGCGATACACACAGGTAACAGGCACCCTCAACACTATCAGCAACAGCATACATGGCAGCAAGAATAGCATCAAAGTCAAGATCAAAGATAGCAACCCCGGCCTTAGCCAGATCTCCCCAGCGAGGGATCTCTGACGCCTCAGGGAACAGGCGACGCCACGCGTCCGTCAGGCGACCAAAGTAGCGCTGGGTGGAGTGCGGACCTCCGCACTTCTCACCAGTGCGGTCGCCGGTACGGAGAACGTAAGAGCAGGGACCAAAACCCCCACCGCGCTGGCGTGCAGTGTACCACTCACGAAGCTGCTGAGGGGACAGGGTCACACCACTCCGCTGCTGCTGCTGGCGCTGACCACCACCGGCGCCACTCCTCGGTGCAGAGTTGCGACTCGCTCCACCACCGCTGCCTCCGCTGCCGCCGCCGCCTCCTCCACCTCCGCCTCCTCCACTACCTCCGCCGCCTCCGCTCCCTCCGCCACCTCCAACGCCTCCGCCGCCTCCACTGCTGCCGCCGCCGCCGCTACCCCCAGCACCACTCCCACCACCACCACCACTCCCTCCACCGCCTCCACCACCACCTCCACCGCCCCCTCCACCCCCTCCAGTGCCCTCGCCCCCCTTGCCCTTGCCGGTGCGGCGTCTCCCGCTCGGGGCAGACGCAGCGCCGACCGACTCGAAACCAACGAGGTCGGCCGCAGAAGCAGAGGCAACAGAGGGCAAGAGGGGGGAGGGAGAACTCCCCTCAAAGACGAGGGTCACCACGAGAGGCTCCTACACCGACTATGCTCTTCTCTATCGCTAGGAGGGCCTTCTCGAGGAGGTCAACAGTGAGAGTGGTGGGGCAAACAGAGAGGAAGTGATCCCTGACTACACGGAGAGAGTCAGGGAGACGGGTGACTATGTAGTAGAGGGTGATGTACATGGGGGGGGGGGTTCTTGGCGCAGAGTTCAGCAGGAAGCGCAGTGCGGTAGCGAGTGTCACTAGTGTGGAGGTGCGTAATGAGGTCAACGACTGTGGGAAAGGCAGCAAGGTCAAGGAAGAGGTACGGTAGCATGAGGCAGCTATGTGCAGCAGTGGCAGGGGAAGAGTAGCGTGCAACTACAGCGTCGTACAAGGTCTGAGCACTCTTGTACTGGCTAAAGTGTGCACACTCAGTGGTTGGTAAGTGGCGGCGCACAGCAAGGCGGGCAGCAGCGTCACGTGTGGCCCACTGTGAGCGAATAGTGGCGTCAGCATCAGCAGCAGGGGCAGGGGAGGCACCAGAAGTGAGGTCAAACAGGGAGAGGTCGTCTGCCCTATCGCACTGCAGGAAAAGCTGCAGATCATCTACCCAGACCTCAAAGTCCACTGCCCGACCCTCAGCGTCAAAGGTGAGAATGCTAGGGGAAGCCATAACAGCAGTAGGCAGGGCAGTGCAGTGGCAGAGACTGTGCTCTTACCAGGTAGGTGGAGCGATCGGGCTGCTCGGCGGCTCGGCTGTCGGGCGACTCGGCTGCAGGGCGGCTCGGCTGCTGGGCGGCTCTGCTGCTAGGCGGCTCGGCAGCTGGGCGGCTCGGCTGCTGGGCGGTTCGGCTGCTGGGCGGCTCGGCTGCACGGTGCTGGGCGGCTCGGCTGTCGGGCGGCTCGGCTGCTGGGCGGCTCGGGCGGTCGGGCGGCTCAGGTGGCCGGCGGTTCGGCTGCTCGGCGTTGCGGGCGCTGGGAGGCGGGGTCGCAGGTGGTGGCGAGGTCGCAGGTGGCGGCGGGCCGCAAGGGTGGGCGGGGGTCGCGGTGGCGACGGGGCCGAAGTGGGGCCTAAGCAGGGCCGTAGAGGGGCCAACGGGGCCAAAGCGGGGCCGCGACAGGGCCGTAGCGGGGCCGACGGGGCCGTAGTGGGGCCGACGGGGCCGAAGCGGGGCCGCGACGGGGCCGTAGCGGGGCCGTAGCGGGGCCGTAGCGGGGCCTAAGCGGGGCTGACGGGGCCGAGGCGAGGCCTGAGCGGGGCTTAAGCGGGGCCGACGGGGCCGTAGCGGGGCCGTAGCGGGGCCGTAGCGGGGCCTAAGCGGGGCCGTAGCGGGGCCGTAGCGGGGCCGTAGCGGGGCCGTAGCGGGGCCTAAGCGGGGCCGTAGCGGGGCCGTAGCGGGGCCGTAGAGGGGCCTAAGCGGGGCCGACGGGGCCGTAGCGGGGCCGTAGCGGGGCCGTAGCGGGGCCTAAGCGGGGCCGACGGGGCCGTAGAGGGGCCGACGGGGCCAAAGCGGGGCCGCGACGGGGCCGTAGCGGGGCCGTAGCGGGGCCGTAGCGGGGCCTAAGCGGGGCCGACGGGGTCGTAGTGGGGCCGTAGCGGGGCCTAAACAGGGCCGTAGCGGGGCCGACGGGGCCTAAGCAGGGCCGTAGCGGGGCCGTAGAGGGCGGCTGGAGGGGCAGTAAGGGCGGCCAATAGGGGCCACTAAGGCGGCTCGAGGCGCTACTCGGGTTAGGAGCTAAGCGCGCTTCGGGCAGGGAAGGAAAAAAAAAGTTCGTGGTGGGCCCTAGGCAGTATTCCCACTCGGGAACCTGCTCGATACCATGACGAGAAGTGAGAATGGAATGAATGAACTATGAAACAGTTGGGTACAAGTACTAACCCTAATTGGGTTGTACCCCTTATGGGCTACCCCACTACAGCCTACACAAATGTATAAGCTATAATGTTCTGACATGGTGCTACGTAAATGATGCTTGCAAAGCAACTCGGCATACGCTCCAACAAAGAGAGCGCCGCTCCATCCTTGGAAGCTTGGAAGCACCTCCTTGAGGTATATCAGCCGAAGGACTCAGTCACCTCCAGCAGGCACCTGCAGCAACTTATGGAGACCAAGATGGGGCACGAGGAGAAAAGGTATATATATAAACCGCTGTCGGAACATCCGTGATCAGATCACGAAACATGGGAGCGCAATTTCGGAGGAGAACTTCGTCAACATCGTTGTGAGAGTACGACAGCTTATGCTGGCTTTGCTAGCTTGCCTTGACATTATTGTGCTATATCTAGCTTGGGTTTATTTTATCATGCATGGATATGTTTGATTTCCTAGGTTAGGTCCATTCCTATATATTATTATAGCTATAGCACCAAACCAGGTTACGATTTGCTTTCTACTGAGTTCGGGTAAGTTCTGTTCGGGGCGCTGCGCGACCCTCAGAACATCCGCGTAACACCTAGGTAACTGACCTTGTGTCGCGACTATATATAGCCTCGTGTTGTACCCAGGTGAATCATTTAATTACAATTCTCTTTTCTGAGCTCGATCCTAGATCCTCATACTTGGTAATCAGAGCCTGTTTTTACGCTAAGTTTTTGGACCGCTAAAGCCTAACCTTTAAAACCGCGGGGGTGACAATAGAAATCGCCGATTACGAGATTGTAAACCAGTTCCGCGCTATTTTCTAACTCCCCCTCGAACTGGCTTTCGAACACTCTTCAGTTCCAGTGGCGAAAAAGTTGGAATTTCGACCGTCAGATCGATTCTAATCTCAACGGCCCTGACAATTTCGCCAAAAAAAGTTGGAATTTGGAGCGTCGGATCGAATTTCTTCTCAACGGCCGAGATCGGACGCGAATTTCGACTAAGGGAGAATTACACGACATACAGAATCAGCGCTCGTCGTTTTTACAGTTGATTCGACTCATAGTAAGTCGACCAGCGCCTAGAATTCAATGTTCTTCGTCGCAAATCTTCATGTAAATCGCCAAATGGAGGAAAATGGTGATAATTTTGTACGAGAAAATACGGATTTACACACCGACGTGGACAAGACGCGAGCGGCACTCCAGCAAATAGAGGAGCTTCTCGCGAACCAGTCGGCAGCCGCCACAGTAGCAGCGAACGCAGCAGCGAATGCAGCAGCGACGACAGCAGCAGTAGTGGCAACACCGACACTTCACCTAGCAGCAACGGCAGCGGCTACAGTGAATCTTGAGGCGGCACGTCCAAGGCTACCGGAAATGTTTAATCCGAATGCGAGAGACACTGACGTCCGTTGATTCATCGCGACCCTCGAAATTTACTTCGAGGCCGTTGGTTGTACGACCCCAACACACGATGCAATGCGGATTCGGCTCGCAGCGATACTATTACGAGGCCCGGCGCTCGAATGGATTTACAAAAGCAACGAGGTCCGAGGCGAGAGGTCGTGGACGCAGTTTTGGGCAGCTTTAATTTAACGCTTCGAACCAATCAACTCCAGCTACATGGCGCGGCAACAGATCTATCGGCATCAACAGTTTGGCAGTGTAACATGGTACACGCAGCAGATGGAGAGCCTCTTCAACCGGATTACCGACCTGACCAAAGGGTAAAAACTTCAAGCGTATACTGAGGGGCTAAAAATGGAAGTTCGCCGACAGGTGACTGCCGCGAGCTACAACAACTACCGCGACATGGTGTGCGCAGCAGAGAGATTCGATGCGCTGATTCGAGGTCAATCCGAAAAACGAAGACGTGTGCCGAACAGATCATTCGGCACGGAGCGATCGACCCCACCCACATGTCAGATTTATATGACATAGCTGTTGTAGGCTATAGTGGGTTAGCACATATGGGGTACGACTTTCTAGGGTTTGAACTTGTACCCAACTTTCCCTTAGTCAATTCATTCTCGTTCATTTTCTCATGGTATCGAGCAGGTTCCCCTGTGGGAACTGTTCCTAGGGCCCACCACCTTTTTTTTTCTTGCCCGGAGCGCGCTCTACTCTGCCCGAGTCGCGCTCCCCTCTTTCGACCCTGTCGCGCCGCCTTCGCGGTCCCGTCACGTCGCGCTTGCGGCCCCGTCGCGTCGCCCTCGCGGCCCCGTCACGTCGAGCCGCCCTAGCGGCCGCGTCGCGCCGCCCTCGCGGCCCCGATCCGCCGCCCTCGCGGCTCCGTCGCGTCGCGCCGCCCTCGCGGCCAGTTCGCGCCGCCCTCGCGGCCTCTTAAAGCCGCTCTCGCGACCCCCCCCCCCCCCCCCTCCTAGCCGCCCTAGCGGCCCCGTCGCCTACCCCTGCAACCCCGGCGCCGCCCTTCCCGGCCCCGGCGCCGCCCTTCCCGGCCTCGGCGCCGCCTCTGCTGGCCCCGTTGCCTACCCTGCGGCCCCGGCACCTACCCTGCGGCCCCGGCGCCTACCCTGCGGCCCCGTCGCCTACCCTGCGGCCCCGGCGCCTACCCTGCGGCCCCGGCGCCTACCCTGCGGCCCCGTCGCCTACCCTGCGGCCCCGGCGCCTACACTGCGGCCCCGTCGCCTACCCTGCGGCCCCGGCGCTACCCTTGCCGGCCCCGACGCCTACCCTGCGGCCCCGTCGCCTACCCTGCGGCCCCGGCGCTACCCTTGCCGGCCCCGGCGCCGCCTCTACCGGCCCCGCCGCCGTCCCCACGCAGCCCCGCCGTCACTACCGAGCCACCGACGCCGCCGAGCTACTGCCGAGACGCCCGAGCCACCCGAGCCGCCCAAGCCACCGCGCCACCTGAGCCGCCCGAGCCGCCGTGTCGCCGAGCTACCGAGCCACCAGAGCCACCGAGTCGCCGAGCCGCAGTTGCTGCCAAGCCACCGTACCGCCGAGTCGCCCGAGCCGCCAGAGCCGCCGAGTCGCCGAGCTGCATTTAAATGCCGAGCCGCCGAGCCGCCAAGCCGCCCGAGCCGCCCTGTGCGGTAAGAGCAGCGCCTCTATCACTGCACTGCCCTTACCCTACTGTTCGCGCTGCTAGTCTACTCCTGTCATGGCTACCCCTAGTGTCCTTGCTTTTGACGCTGAGGGTCAGGCCATTGACTTTGACGTCTGGGTAGATGACCTGCAGCTTTTCCTACAGTGCGATAGGGCAGACGGTCTCTCCCTCTTTGACCTCACTTCTGGTGCCTCTCCTGCCCCTGCTGCTGATGCTGACGCCACTGTTTGCTCACAGTGGGCCAAACGCGATGCTGCTGCACGTCTTGCTGTGCATCGCCACCTGCCTACCTCTGAGCGTGCACACTTTAGCCAGTACAAGAGTGCTAAGACCTTGTACGACGCTGTAGTTGCACGCTACTCCTCCCCTACCACTACTGCACTGAGCCGCCTCATGCTACCGTACCTCTTCCCTGACCTTGCTACCTTTCCCACAGTCAATGACCTCATTACGCACCTCCGCACTAGTGACACTCTCTACCGCGCTGCGCTTCCTGCTGAGTTCTGCGCCAAGAACCCCCCCCCCCAATGTACATCACCCTCTACTACATAGTCACTCGGCTCCCTGACTCTCTCCGCATAGTCGGGGACCACTTCCTCTCAGTTTGCCCCACCACTCTCACCGTTGACCTCCTCGAGAAGGCCCTCCTAGCGGCAGAGAAGAGCATAGTCGCTGTAGGAGCCTCTCGTGGTGACCCTTGCACCCCCGTCTTTGAGGGGTGTTCCCCCTCCCCCCTTTTGCCCTCTGTTGCCTATGCTGCTGCGGGGGGTGGTGGTGGGAGTGGAAGTGTCGGTGGCGGCAGTGGAGGCGGAAGCGGAGGCGGCGGTGGCGGTGGGGGCGGAGGTGGCGGAGGAGGCGGTGGAGGAGGAGGCGGCGGCGGAGGAGGCGGAGCTGGTCGGGGTGGCGCTGCACAGATTTCGGCTCCGGTGGTGGTCAGCGCCAGCAGCAGTAGCGCACTCGCGACATCCCCCCCCCTCAGCAGCTCCGTGAGTGGTACGCTGCACGTCAGCGCTACACTGGTCCGTGCACCTACATCCTACGCACCGACGACCGCGCGGGTGAGCAGTGCGGGGGTGCGCACTCCACCCAGCGCTGCTTTGGCCGCCTGACGGACGCTTGGCGTCACCAGTTCCCTGAGGCCACTGAGATCCCTCGCTGGGGCGAGCTGTCTAGGGCGGGAGTAGCTATCTTTGACCTTGACTTTGATGCTATTCTTGCTGCCATGTATGCTATGACTATTAGTGATGAGGGTGACTGTTACCGGTGCTTTCCGCCCGACCCGGGCATTGAGACTGCCGCTCTAGGTACTGGTGAGGCTGCTGCTCTAGGTGCTAGCGAGGCTGTTGCTCTAGGTGCCAGTGCGTCTGCTTCCTCAGGTGCTGGTGAGTCTGCTCTCTCAGGTACCGCGTCGGCTTCGGCCTCCCACACCTTCACCCTTGACTCGGGGGCTTCTCGCTCCTTCTTTCGAGACCGCACCACACTCACGCCGCTTGGTCGGCCAGTTGCAGTCCCTCTGGCAGACCCCTCTGGGGGTCCTGTCCTTGCTCACTTCTCCACTGCCCTCCCGTGTCCGGCGGCCCCCTCTGGCACCCTGTCTGGTCTTTACCTCCCCTCGTTCTCTACGAACTTGGTGAGTGGTGCTGACCTACAGGATGCGGGGTTCACCAGTTCACTTCTGCGAGTCAGCGGGTGACCCACTGCACGGACGCTCGGAGAGGCCGACACCTGGCCACGTTTACACGTCGGCCGGGGTCGAGCCTGTACACACTGACCACTGAGTCTCCTCCTGTCACTGCGTCTGGTCAGGCAGCTGTGTCGGGTCAGGTGTTTGCTGCAGCGTTCAGGTCTGGTCCTGAGTCTGCCCCCTGCTCGTGTCGCCTCCTGTCTCACGAGACTCTCCTCTGGCACCACCGCCTTGGTCACCCCTCCCTGCTTCGTCTCCGAGGCATGGCCTCCCGTGTCCTTGTCTCTGGTCTTTCCTGGTCCCTCCCTCCCCTTCCCCCGGGGCCTGCCCCTGCCTGCGTCCCCTGTGTCGAGGGGCGGCAACGTGCTGCCCCTCACTCCTCCCAGTTTCCTCCGACAGAGGCCCCGCTGCAGACGCTTCACATGGACGTGTGGGGCCCAGCCCGCGTCCGTGGACAGGGTCACGAGCGCTACTTCCTGCTGGAGTTTGACGACTACTCGCGTTACACCATAGTCTTCCCCTTGTGCAGCAAGGGTGATGTCACTGAGGTGTTGATCGATTGGATCCGCGCAGCTCGTCTCCAGCTCAGGCAGAGCTTCGGCTCGGACTTTCTTGTTCTGCGTCTGCACTCTGACCGAGGCGGAGAGTTCTCCTCTGGCCTTCTGCGAGCCTACTGTCGTGACCGAGGCATCTGCTAGACCTTCACGCTTCCGGACTCTCTACAGCAAAATGGGATTGCTGAGCGCCGCATTGGCATGGTCATGGACGTCGCCCGTATGTCCATGATGCATGCGGTTGCCCCCCATTTTCTATGGCCGTTTGCGGTTCGGTACGCGGCGCATCAGATCAACCTTCACCCCAGGGTCTCCATGCCGGAGACCTCCCCAGCTTTGCTTTGGACGGGGAAGGTTGGCGATGCGTCTGCGTTCCGTGTCTGGGGATCTGGGGCGTTTGTCCGCGACTTGTCTGCGGACAAGCTGTCCCCTCGTGCTGCTCCCTGCGTCTTCCTTGGCTTCCCCCCTGACGCGCCTGGGTGGCAGTTCTACCACCCCACCTCTCGCCGTGTTCTGTCCTCCTAGGACGTCACGTTTGACGAGTCGGTCCCCTACTACCGCCTCTTCCCCTACCGCACTCCGTCCCTCCCCCCGCCACCGCTCTTCCTTGTGCCAGGTCCCCCCCTGGTAGACCCCCTCCCCCCTCAGGGTCCTGCCCCTTCAGGTGTGTCCCAGGTAGACGTAGTCGAGCCTGTCAAGGTTGCTGGTGACTCTGGTACTGCTGAGGGTGCTGACCCTGGGGGTGCTGACTCTGGGGGTGCTGAGCGTGTGGGTGCTACGCCTGGGGGTGCTGAGCCTGAGGGTGCTACTACTGGGGGTGCTGAGCCTGGGGGTGCAGAGCCTAGGGGTGCTACGCCTGGGGGTGCTACGCCTGGGGGTGCTACGACTGGGGGTGCTGAGCTTGGGGGTGCTACGCCTGGAGGTGCTGTGCCTGGGGGTACGGAGCCTGAGGGAGCTTGGCCTGCTCGTGTCGCGGCTGGGGGTACTGTGCCTGGAGGTTCTCCGGGTGCTTCGTCTCGGCGGGAGCCACTCTCTCCACAGGAGCTGCGCGAGTGGTTTGCCCGGCGCTGGCGGCGTGCTGCTGGAGCTAGAGGTTCTTCGGCTACTGAGGGTGATGGTGTCGCGGGTCCCGGAGGTGCTCGTACTGGGAGTACTGGAGCTGTTGGGCGTGCGGGTACGACTAGAGCTGGAGCTGCTGAGGGTGTTGGCGCTGAGGCTACTGCTGTCGGTCATCGAGGCGGTCCTGCTAGGGGTGCTACTGGTGCAGCTGGAGGTCCTGGAGCTACTGGAGCTGCTGGGGGTGCTGGAGCTGGAGGTGCTGCTGGCACTGGTGCTACCACTGGGGGTACTGGTGCTGTCCTTGCTGTGTCTGGACCGTCGCGCGGCCTCAGCCGTACTTCGTTCCGCTCCTTCAGCAGGTTCTTGGTCTTCCGCCTTCTACTGGACCTCCTCCTCCCTTAGAGTGTCCACAGCCTGTCCCGTCACAGTTACAGTTACAGCCGGCCTCCCCACTACCTGCTCCTTCTCCCTACACTGGTCATACTGGAGGTCTTGCTGAGCGTCGTGAGCCTACGTCTCGCCCTGCGTTGCCTGTACGTCCTACTCGCACTAGTGGTCGTGGTTCGCGTCAGCGTCCTCCTCCTGTCCCTGGCACGCACCGGATGTCTCTGCGTCCGTCTACTGCTCCTCTGCGTGCCCCTTTGCCTTCTCCTCCTCAGTCCTCTCTTCCTGCTCTTGCCGACCCGGAGTCGGACTCTCTTCGTGCTGCCAGTCCTACTGTCACGCGTCTCCTTGCTACTGTCGTCACTCACCCTTCCTTTGAGTCCACTGCTGCGTCTGCCCTAGTTGCTGAGCTTGTTGACTTTGCTGCTCGCTGTCGTCTAGACTATGCTGCTAGTCTTGTCGCTGAGTCTGAGTCTGTCTGTCCTCCGTCCGTCGGGGGTGAGTGTGCCCTTGGCACGGACGTCCTTGAGGACAAGCAGGAGGAGTTCCAGTCTTTGGCTGCTGCTTCACCTCATCTCGTGTCCGTACAGCTTACCGTTGAGGGAGACCCGGATGCACTTGACATCCCGACTCCGCGCTCTTACGCGGAGGCGATAGAGGGTCCCTACTCCTCTCAGTGGTAGGCAGCTATGGACACAAAGATGGCTTCCTGGAAGTCCACAGGCACCTACATTGACGAGGTTCCCCCGCCTGGGGCGAACATCGTCAGTGGCATGTGGATTTTCAGGGTGAAGCGGCCGCCGGGTTCTCCGCCTGTCTTCAAGGCGCGTTACGTGGCTCGTGGTTTCAGTCAGCGGCAGGGAGTTGACTACTTTCAGACCTTCTCTCCCACCCTGAAGATGACCACTCTTCGGGTACTGCTGCACATAGCAGCTCACCGTGACTACGAGCTGCACTCTCTTGACTTCAGCACTGCTTTCTTGCAGGGCAGCCTGCACGAGGAGATCTGGCTGCGTCGCCCACCTGGCTTCACTGGGTCTTTTCCTCCTGGCACTCAGTGGAGCCTCTGGCGGCCAGTCTACGGTCTCCGCCAGGCACCGCGTGAGTGACACGACACACTGAGGACTACACTTGCGGCTCTTGGGTTTGCTCCCTCTACTGCCGACCCGTCGCTGTTTCTGCGCACCAACACTTCTTTGCCGCCGTTCTACATCCTCGTGTACGTCGACGACTTGGTCTTTCCCACAGCTGACACTGCTGGACTCGCCCACGTGAAGTCCGAGCTGCAGAAGAGACACACGTGCACAGACCTGGGTGAACTGTACAGCTACCTTGGCCTGCAGATCACCCGGGACAGAGCACGCCGCACCATTACCCTGACTCAGTCACACATGGTGCAGCAGGTCCTTCAGCGCTTCGGCTTCACGTACTCCTCGCCTCAAGCCACTCCTCTGCCTACTCGCCACTCGCTCTCAGCTCTGCCTTCGAATGAGACCATAGAGCCGAGTGGCCCGTACCCAGAGCTTGTTGGCTGCCTCATGTACCTGATGACCTGACCTTGCATACCCTTTTAGCATCTTGGCACGCTATGTTGCTCCTGGGAGACACAGACCAGAACACATGGCTGCAGCGAAGAGGGTGGTGCGCTAGTTGTGCAGTACGTCGGGCATGGGGCTTGTGCTTGGAGGGCAGAGTCCAGTGGTCCTCACTGGGCACGCGGACGCTTTTTGGGCTGACGACCAGGCTACGCAGCGGTCGTCACAGGGTTACACCTTCAGCCTTGGTTCGGGCTCTGTTTCGTGGCGGGCTACCCGCTCGTCTTCTGTTCTCGGCTCCAGTTGTGAGGCTGAGATCTACGCCACAGCCATGGCTGCACAGGAGCTTCGCTGGCTCACCTACCTGCTGACTGACCTCGGAGAGCCGCCTCGTTCTCCTCCAGTGCTGTACGTAGACAACAAGGCCATGCTGGCCTTGTGTCAAGAGCAGAGACTGGAGCACAGAACGAAGCACATTACTTCCTTGCTCGTGAGCTACAGCAGCGTGGTCAGCTGCGCCTTGCGTACGTGGCCTCTGAGGCCAACGCTGCTGATATCTTCACCAAGGCGCTTGCGCCTTGTGATTATCAGCGCTTCTGTACTCAGCTGGGTCTTGTGCCTGCCTTGCCTCACTTGCTCACCACTTGACCTTGTTTGTACTGCTACATATATATATACACCTGCTCTTGCTTGTGGCCTTGAACTTGTGCTCGGAATGTGTGGTGACTTTGTGATCCACCCTGTGCTTGCTTTGCTTTGCTTGACTGGTCTTGTGACCCCTTGTTCTCCCCCACTTTGCCTATGGGGGTGTGTCAGATTTATATGACAGAGCTGTTGTAGGCCATAGTGGGGTAGCACATATGGGGTATGAATTTCTAGGGTTTGTACTTGTACCCAACTTTCCCTTATTCAATTCATTCTCGTTCATTTTCTCACCACAACCAACGACCCGATGGATATCAACAAGGCGATGCGACGCAGCGGCCGACAAAATATGAGAAGTAAAATTTTGCGGCGCAGCAGGATCGATTCTTGGCGTGTTGGAAAATGAAGAAGGCACGAGCGGAGCTGTAGGGCAACAATAGTGCAGCACCCCCGAAGTCAAAAGACATGGTGACTTCGGAGTGGGCGGAAAAATGAGAACATGATGGCTTGAATTCAAAACACCACGACCGGCCGGCAACAAGGGAAATCGCCGAGACAAATGGAGGCTACGCGAAACCAGACTTTGCACCGACCGGGAAACTCAACCCGAACACCCCCAAGAGTAAGAATATTTCCTCTCGAGGTTTTCAAGCCTTTGAAAAATTCAGGAAAGATTTCGAGGCCAAGAAAAAGCCTTGAGACATTATTCAGGTACCAGAGAAGTTGGGCAAACCACTACGGAGCGTTAAGGGTCGTGTGTTCCAAGGATATAATATTCTCTCCCCGCAGCACAGTGTTAAGGCTCCCCATAGCCCACAGGTCAAGCCTACACAGCTGCAAAGGCTTAGGGGAAGGTTCCAGGCCAAGACGAAGCTGAATCAGCCTCGGATAAATCCTTCTAACCCTACTCAGTAGGAAACTGATATTGAGACAGCAGTTTCGAGTTTAGAACCTAAGGGAGATATATTTGACGTACCCTACTATCCTATACGCGAGACCATCTACAGTTACTTGGAGCAGCAACAACCACTATTACTCGAGGTGATCAGAAACGGGCGATGAGTCCAGGCACTGCTGGACAGCGGTGCGTCTCACTCAGTGTGCAACCGAGGGACGTTGGAGAAAATTGGAGAACCTTCCGAGGAGACCAAGTTCACGGCAACGATGATGGACGGTACGAAACTTCCGGTTTACGGCGAAGGATCACCGCAGCTGCACATAGGGGGGCTGAGGTGGAAGCCGACATTGCCGATCACGAACATCAAGATCTTAGATTTCATCTTGGGGCGAGATTTCCTGAAGCAATTCAACCCCGAGATCGACTGGGTCAACTGTTTGGTGTGCATCTACAACAACGGGAAACGAGTGGAGCTGCGAAGCTGGACGGATACAGGGAACGTTCCTAAAACGACACTCGCATGGTTTGAACAGACGGTGAACGAAAGTAACACGGGTTACTTAGCACAGGTTATGGCAGCAGAAGAGGAGGAGAAGCCGAAAACAAAGCTACCTCCAGCAGTGAAAGAGGTCTTGCAGCAGTACAAGGATATAATGCCCGACGACTTACCCGCAGGCGTACCTCCGGCACACACCCACAAGCACCAGATCGAGGAGGAACCAGGTGCAAAACCCGTCTCACGTAAACCATACAAACTCAGTTCGACCGAAGTGACATACATGAAGAAGCAGACATAGTATCTATTGGACAGACAACTGATCCGCCCATCCACCTCTCCCTACGGTGCACCAGTTCTCTTCACTCCGAAACCAGACTGTAGTTTACGAATGTGCATCGACTACCGCGCACTGAACAAACAGACAGTAAAATACAAATATCCCATACTGTGCATAGACGACCAACTGGACCAACTGCGTGGTGCAACAGTCTTTTCAAAGCTGGACCTACGGTCGGGTTACTGGCAGATCAAGATGGCGGACAACTCGATTCAGAAGACGGCATTCTATACCAGATACGGCTCCTACGAATACTTGGTGCTGCCTTTCGGACTCTGCAACGCACCAGCAGCATTTCAGGCGGAGATGAACCACATCCTACGGCCCCTGCTAGAAGAGTGCGTGGTAGTGTACCTGGACGACATACTCATCTACTCCAAGAACATGAAGGAGCACGTGGAGCATCTGCGGAAGGTGTTCAAGATCCTGCGGAAAAGCCTTAGCGATAGTCATAGCTTTCAAGGCGTGGAAGTGTTACCTAGAGGGAGCCAAAACTACAGTCTATACGGACCACTGAAGTCTCAAATACCTGAAGTCGCAGCTGACGCTCTCACGACGACAGGTGTAGTGGGTGGACTTCCTGGAAACTCACTTCCATTACGACATCGTCTACAAGCCCGGGCTACACAACAAAGCAGATGCTTTGAGCCATCCTAGTCATGTAGCAGGCATCCAGCTCCACGGGATGAACCCTCTACTCAACGGTCTATTCCAACATGGGTACTCCGTGGACTCGAAGATTGCTACGGCAGAGAAACAGAAGGTCTTACCGGCGATGCTCTTGGCCGGCGCCACACGCGACGCCCCACTGCTCCCCTCATCGCCGCTGGCCGAGAGCGATGTCAGCTCATGCAGGTCGGCTACAAAGGGTGGAGTAGAAAGGGCAAGGGAAGGGCAAAGAGGGTGGATGTCCTCGGCGTCCTCATCAGCAATCTCACCGACCGCGGCGAGCAAGGGGAGTGTCGCCGTTGAAGTCTCCATCGGCTGGTCGACCGGCGTCCGCCCCGATGCCGGCCACTGCTTCGACTTCTATTCCTCTAGCGACATCATCTAGTAGAACACCACGTCCGACGTGGGACCACCTTGTTGTCAGTGAGGTCGAGGAGCTTTCAGCCCTTGCTCTCCTCCGACACACTGAGGTGAAGGCCCCATCTGGCCTTCGGCTTCCGCTTCTCACTACGGCGGCAGCATCCACGTCTCCAAGCAGTTCCTCACCCAGACGGCCTGGCGCAGAGCGAGGTGCCACCAGTGGTGCTGCACACCCATGTGCAGCACCATCGTCCGCACCGACTCCACCACCGTCCGCATCTCTCGCTCCGCCATGCCATTCTACTGCAGTGTATAGGGGCAAGTCAGGTCGTGGACGATGCCCTTGCTGTCCACGAAGTCGGTGAACTGCTTCCTAAAGAACTCCCCTCCCAAGTCGAAGCGCAGCATCAGCACCGACTTCTTTGTTTCTCGCTCCACCACCACCAGCCGCTTCCCAAACTCTTGTAGCACGTCGGACTTCTTGGCGACCGGCCTCACCCACACGTAGCGGATCTTGCGGTCCTTCAGCAGCAAGAAGTACAGGCTCCCGTCCTTGGCAGCCACCCGAAACGGCCCAGACAGGTTGTGATGGTGGTGGTGGAGAGATGGTGCGGCCTTACCCAGACGGCCGAGCTTGTGATGGTGTCGACGACGACGTAAGCAACCCTCACGTGCCACCTGGCCGGCGTCCACTTTGTTGCCGTGGCGATGGTCCACAGGGCCACCGTCTCCATCGTGGTGGACTTCGACGTCGCCGTGCACGGACATAAGTCGCTGCAGAGAACCCGGCCAGTGTATGTTTCCCGACCGAGGACGTCCTCGGCCGCCGAGACAATACACATCCCGCCATCCTCGTCGTGCAGCTTCACGCCGCTCTCCTTCATTTGGCCGGCTGACAGCAAATTGGCATGCACGCCCGGGACGTAGAGCACGTCGGGGATGAGCGCTTGTTTCTCAACTTCTCCTTGCAGGGCGACGGTTCCGCGGCCCTGGATGGTCTCCAGCGCCCCATTGAAGCCGCGCACGTGCTTGACGTCGCCGCTCGGCCCCAAGTCGATGAAGGCCTCCTTCGTCCTAATCAGTTGGTGAGAGCAACCACTGTCGAGCAGAACCATCACAGAGTTCGCCTGCATGGCTGTTCTCACCGCCAGGAGGTTCTCACCAGC